TGTATGGAGAAGCCGAAATGGGCTGGAGTCACAAGATACTTCCCCACGGAGCAGCCCCGTTTCTGCCGCGCACTGAAGTGGCCACAGACGCACGGCATCATGCCTGTGTGACACTGAACACACAGACAGGGTGAATTCCTCTCCGAGGTGCAGGGGAAAGGTCGCCCTCTAAATCATAGCTGTTTATTTGTCAAAGTTGGAAATAGATGAAACCCAAAGGAAAGTCGCTATCGTGTTACATTTAAGCACAGTTTTGAATAAATAATCACACGACCCATTGTTGCTGGTCTGTTTTGAATTGCTGCGGTGTTACTGCGATGTCAACAGACAGCCAGTAAAACCATGCATCAAGTTGTTGTCTTTTTGTTGTCTTTCTGAGACTGTGCTCAGTCACCCGGGCGTCCTTGTCCGTGCCTGCTTCACGGTGAGGAAATCGGCTCCGGTTGGCTCTGCCATTAGAATAATGTGCCTGTCACCGCGAGAGGACGCACTGTCACAATTTTAAGAACGTAAATGTCCCGCAACCTGCCAGAGGCTCAGAGCAGCAGTCTCTCTTTTTCTCTTCTTGCGGCTGTGCACACACAGTCTGCAGCAAACTGATGGGAAAAGTGCACAGTGTTGTACTAGAACACTAATATTACCATACATCCCTGCTTTGTATTCACTTTCATTTCTACTTATTTTTACTGCTACCTTTTATGAGAAGTTGATGTGTAAATCTTATATTTTTAAATGTTTGTTTTTTTATCAATAGCCTTTCAGATTAATGTACATGTCAGTGTTTTCTAGATGGCTTTAAGGCGCCATGCATGCAGTGAGACGTCCCTACATCCTCCTCTGTTTCCAAGCATAAATAGATTGTGGCGTTTGACTAGGCCTCCTAAAACAGCTTTATTTTAATAGTCTTTTTTTGACAAGGTCATTGAAAAAAGAATCTCCTGCATCCCTCCTGGCCCACGTTATATTCAATTAGGGCAGGCCCCTCCCCTTAACTGATGACACTGACAGACCCTCCTTAAGTTGCGTCGCGCCACAGCTGTCTGCAAGCATTGAGCTGCCTGGCGCCATCCTGAAAGAATGCCTTCACTGTAAAAAAAAAAAAGAAAAAAAGAGAAGTGGGGGCTGGAGAGAGAAAAGGAGAGAGGTAGAGCAAGGGTGAGGGAGCAAGAGCCACACAGACCGACAGGGA